AAAAAAAAAAAAAAAAAGGTTTAGGAAACAATAAAGGCCCCTACAGTAGATGGAAGGAGACCCAGAGCATTGCCGCCTGGTGCGTCGCGCCATTGCGGCCTTCCGCTCTGGGGCGCCGCGGGCAAAGACCGCACTGGAGTCGATGCTGCCCCTTTATGGCGGATTCATGTGGGTGGTTGTCAAAATTATGGTCCCTTTTTGGGTCCTTATTATAATACGGCACCTATTGTTTAGGGTACCCCAAAAGGGACCCTAATTTTGACAACCACCCAGGGTTTAGGGTTTAGGGTTTAGGGGGCTCCAGTTCAGTATCGGTGTATGTACGACTTTGTGTGGCGGATTCATGTGTGGGCTTTTGCGGTGATGTCCGATACGTGTTGGTGCAGGTTAGGGCGGCCGCCGGGCTTGATCTTGAATTTCGGGTTTCATGTCAGAGGCTGCGCATGTACTCGCGTCGCACATTGTAAGGATTTGGTGCATTTCCTCCAACATTCAAAGCTGCAAGAAACAGCCCTGAGAATCTTATTACGGTTGCACATGAACCCAAACCCCCAAATCATACACGCTCAAATCCAACAAGCCCTCCAGCCCTTAAGCCTAAAGCCCGAAGCCCTAAACTCAAACCCTGCACCCCGAAGGCTAACCCTAAACCTAAACCCTAAACCCTAAACCCTGAACCCTAAACCCCGAAGCCTAAGCCACCCTATTCCTAAACCCTAAAGTCCTGCAGCAGCTACTAAGGCTCTCTGCGATCAAGAGAGGCCAACACTGCGGGCTTGGCTTTGATGTAGGACTTTTGGGGGCTTTAGGGCTTCTTCGGGCTTCTAAGGGGCTGCTTCGGGCTGACGACTTGGGATTTTGTGAGTTAGGGTTTAGGGTTTAGGAGGACTTTGTGATTCAGGGTTTCAGAACTTCTTAACTTACCTGAGGTTTAGGTTTGGGGTGGGCGTCGTGGCCTGGTGTTGGGAGCTGGAAGCTTGTCTCTGTGAGGCCATGCTGAAGCTGCGGTGCTCTGTGCAGGCGGGGCTTTCCAGAGCTTTCTACGACCTTGTAGAACCATGAAAAGCCGCAGCAAACCCATGAAACAAACACATCATAGCCCTTGTGCAAAACTCTTCAAAGCTGTCATAGTTGACAATACGGAAAAGGTGCTCTCGCTCCCTTGCAGTCGCCAGTGTTTCTGGATGCCGCCCTGCGAGGCAGGCGGGCAGGCAGAGACGGCAACAAAAACTCTTAGCTACAGACGGGGTTTAGGGTTTAGGGTTTAAGGTTTAGGGTTTAGGGTTTAGGGTTTAGGGTTTAGGGTTCATACTAGGCTTTGAGGTTTAGGGTTTGGGCATGTTTTGTCCTTCTGCTTTCCGGCTGTAGGCTTTGGGTTTCGAACTCAGGGTTCAGCCTAAACCCAAAACCCTGAACCCTAAACCCTAAACCCTAAACCCTAAACCCTAAACCGTAAACCCTAAAGCCTAAACCCTAAACGTTTAGGTTCTGTAACCCTGGACCTTCCGTCAACATGGGACCCCGTCTTAGTAGTAGAGTAGGTACCCTTTGGGTTGGAAGAAAAAAACGATGTAAACCCAAAGAGGTGAACCTTTAGTTACTTTAGTTCTTCAAGGGTCCGGAGTTTAGAATTTATAGGGTTTAGGGTTTAATAGGGTTTAGGGTTTAATAGGGTTTAGAGTTTATAGGGTTTAGGGTTTAGGGTTTAGGGACCACTGAGCGGTTTTCGAGGGATGCAACGAGTATCTGGGCAGGCATCCTGGCGACGATCCTGAGCTTCAGTGCGCCGGAGACTTGATCAGGCTTAGCGCTGGTGGTTCAGGGTTGTAGGCTTTGGGTTTAGGGTTTAGGGTTTAGGGTAGCACTAGTGGTTTAGGGTTGTAGGCTTTGGGTTTTGAGTTGTAGTCTTGACATTCAGGGTTCAAGGCTTATAGGGTTGCAAGCCCTAAACCCTAAACCCTAAACCCTAAACCCTGAACCCTAAACCCTAAACCCAAAAAAAAAACCCTAAACCCTAAGCCCAAGACCTTGAACCCCAGCCCTGCAGCCTGAAGCAATGAGGAGAGCTTGACCGGTGCTCTGAGAGCCGTGGAGACGCACTGGCTCAACGCAGGCTGAAGCCTCGACCCTCAACCCTAAACCCTACAAACCCTCTAAACCCTCAGCCCTAAACCCTAAACCCTAAACCCTCAACCTCAAACCCTAAACCCTCAACCCCAAATCCTAAAAAAAGAAAGCCCTAAGCCCTAAGCCCTCAACCTCAAACCCTAAACCCCTCAACCCTAAATCCTAAACCCTAAACCCTGAACCCCTAAACCCTAAACCCTAAATCCTAAGCCCTAAAGACCCGCTGGCTCAACGCAGGCCGAGACTTCGGCCGAATCCGTGAGCAGCTGCGTGATGCCCGGAGCTCGGGGCTCAAACGACCACCTGCTGAAGGGGTTTAGGGGTTTAGGGTCTAGGGGTTTAGGGGTTTAGGGTTTCTCACAAGTAGGTTTTCTGCAATTTCCCCTTAGAGGCCCCGCTACAGGATACCACAAAACTAGGATCGCAGTGTTCGGGATAAATCTTATGCCCTGAGCCCTAAACTCTAAACTCCAAACCCTAAACCCTAAACCCTAAACCCTTACAAAAAGAAAACCCTAAACCCTAACCCTGAACCCTGAACCCTCAACCCTAAACCCTAAACCCCCAAAAAAGAAAACCCTAAACCCTGAACCCTCGGGCCAAAACAACCCTAAGCCCCAGTTTTAGGTGCTTTGTTGGGCCCGCAGGAGCTCCTTCCGCTTGAACCCGACAGACGAAGCCCTTTCGCAGCAGCTGCTCTGCCTCTCCTAGGAAAGGAGCTAAAGGGTTTAGGGTTTAGGGTTTAGGGGTTTAGGGGTTTAGGGTTTAGGGTTTAGGGTTTAGGCCAAGGTGTTGCTTTTTTCGGGAGCTTCTCCGCAGACAGACAGGAGCAACACCGAACCAGCTTAAACAACCTTTTTAGACGATCAGGTTATGTCGGCTTCTTCGCCTGCCTCCTCTTCGTTTGCCGCGGCCAGCTGTGGAGACCGTCCGTTCCTTCATCTTTTGCCGAGATCCGTCTGAGATGATGCGTGACACGCTGGTGCTGTTAGGCTTGACGGAGGGAATGCACATTCGAACATGACTGTGAGCGGGTCGAGTGCAAAAGTCCGAAACCCAAAGCCCTAAGCCCTAAACCCCCTAAACCCTAAACCCTAAACCCCTACGCCCTAAACCCAAAACGGACAACCGTCCAACCCGAGAGTCTCGAAGTACTGCCGGCCCTCCCACGAAATCATTTGGACATAGCCGGAAAGTTCCCAAATGGGTAGGACAGGGCGGAGGGTGCACGAACCACAGCTGGGATCCCCAAATTCCCAATATCCTGAACCCAAAAGGCTCTCGACTTAGCAGTTGGGACAAAGTTGATGTAATATAGACGCTTACATAATTACCAATACTCTTTCTGACGGTTCCGTATTATAATTATAAATGCTTTAAAGGAGCCCAAAACCCTATTTTCATTATCAAGGCCCCTATATTAGAGGCGAGGCCCAAAACCCTGGGTGGGAAATATGCTTTTAAACGAAGGCCATGAGGCTTTCGGAGGTCTAGGGTTTAGGGTTTAGGATTTAGGCGTCTTATTCGTTGACGTCCACCTTTGATCATCCTCTAGCTAAACTTGTATCTGTTCAGCTCAGCAAGATGTCCATGATCTTAATGTTTACTACTGTTACTATCAAACCCTAAACCCCAAACCCCAAACCCAAAACCCTTAAATCCTAAACCCTAAACCCTGAACCGCCAAACTTCCCGGCCTCCGCAGCAACACGCAGCAGTGACATGCCTTCACAGTATTCGAGAGCCCAAAACGACCGGTTTAGGGTTTAGGGTTACTTGGAGGACCATGGGACGCAGTAAGAATGGTTATAAGTACTTGAATTGGGGTTAGAAGTAGTTATAAGTATAATTACCCTAGTGATAACCTTAGTTACTAAGTCCCATGATCCTTTAAGTACATTGTGCTGTTGGCATTGTGGCTGCACTCAATCATTCTACGGGCGGGTAACTTTGATATTAATAGGCAAAGCCGACGAACTGGATCCCAAGCCATAGCCCCGAAACGGTTTAGGGTTTAGGGTGCTTCGACCAAAGCTCCCAACTTACACCAGAGGCTGGAGATCTGAAGATTCAAAAAGCCAGAGAGTACCGTGAACCCTAAACCCTAAACCACCCCTAAACCCTTAAACCGCAAAGGGGTGCCTTTGATGCTCCGTAGTTCCGAGCTTTTCGGGCAGGCCTCAATGTCATCGCTCGCCACTACGAGGGTCCGTCGGAGAAGGCAGAAGCCAGTTTTTTGGATCTGAAAAACAAGTAATGACAGCGCCCGATAGTCCTTCTAGAGTTCCATTGAAACAATTCGCCAACATCCCCATCTAATTCTTCCTTAAGCAGCTGTAATACTGGCATAAGAGTTGCCATGCTTTGTCGGGGTTCAGGATCTGAGGCGTTTCGGATGTTGAGGCCATGAGGAGATGGCTCCCCGATACATGCAGAAGTCGGATTAACTGGTAATTAGGGATCCCCAAAAGGACATAAGCATAAGCATTTTATAGGGATGTCCCTACCTTATTGGGCTTCATTATGCTAAGGGATTTTATCTTAGCGTTCTTCTGGTTGGCTCTTTAGACTTTAACTTTTTGGGTTTTTATAGGAACTATAATATCTAGGCTAAAAGTTTAACTTTTAGGAGGGGTTCAGAAGTACGCCAAGTTATATGGGCTATCCCTATCCTGATATTTGCTGCTTATGTGCTGTCTTTGGGCACTAGTAATAGCAATGCCTTCAAGACCCCACACAATAATAGTATAATGTAGGAGCCTAAATAATTACAATACTATTTTCGGGGTTCCTTATCACAATTGTAGTATAATAGGCCCCAGTACCCAATTCTACTTATAAGGGCCCGCATAGTAGTATAACCCAAACGCCTATTCTAATCATTCAGGCCACTGCAATCCGAATGCGGCTCATCTAGCAGCAAAGGACACTAATGTAGGGGCCTTCATTAATTAGAATGGGGTTTCGGGGACTCCTTATTAATTATTATAAGTAAAGTATAATATACCCCAAAACACCTTTCTAATTGTTAAGGCCCCTATGTTACATCCAAGACTCTGTCCTGTCTTCTGGGTTTCGGCCTCAAGGGGGTTTGACTCGGTGTGCCCAACGATGTCGGCCGTACCGGGTTTCGGGGTTAGGGTTTAGGAGTTTAGGGTATAGGGTTTAGGGTTTTAGGGTTTAGGGTCTAGGGTTTCTTGGTTTAGGGTTTGGGGTTGCTGAGAGCTTTAGCAGCTTAATGTCGGTGTTCAAAGGCTTCGGAAGTCGGAAGTTCTGAAAACCCACAGCCCTCAACCCCGGAAGCGCTAAACCCACCCCAAATCCTACATCCCAAAGTTTTGAATGGTACCCTAAACCGTAAACACTCAACCCCAAACGCGTAAACCCTAAACCCTCAACCCAACGAGGCGAGCGCGGTCGTAAAAGTCCGTCTATCGTAGATGCAAAAACCCTAAGCCCGTAAACCCGTAAACCCGAAACCCCAAAACCCTAAACCCTAAACCCCAAACCCTAAACCCTAAACCCTAAAACCCCAAAGCCCTAAACTGCGTGTCTGCTGCCTAGGACCGCTTGGCTTTCCATGCGGACAACTTTGTGGTCGGGGAGTGGGTGCCGCTGGCCTGCGAACGTTTAGGGGTTTGGAGCTTTAGGGTTTACCTTAAGAACCCAAAACCTACTTTTTTGTAGGGCCCCTATAAATCCCGTATTAGGGTTTAGAATAAGAACCAACAAAAAAGTGGGTTTGGGGTTCTTAAGGTAGGGTTGAGGGGTTCTAGGGTTCAGGGGTTCTAGGGTTCAGATTCAGGAGTTTAGGGGTTTAGGGGTTTAGGGTTAAGCCAGAGGGCTCAAGCTCTTCTGCTGTGGATGTAGGTAGCCAGAGTTTAGGGTGTTAGGGTTTTAGGGTTTAGTTTTTTTTGGGTTTAGGGTTTAGGTTTTAGGGTCTAGGGTTTAGGGTTTAGGTTTGAGGGCTTAGGGCCTTTGGCATTGAGCCTATTATCTTACGTTTAAAGCGTAAGGTAACAGGTGTGTGTCGTGCTACCCAGACCCTCCAAAACCCCTCGTTAAGGAATCTGCTTCAAACCATACATCAATAGGTCCCCGATTATAGTTTCAAGGTGTACCTATAGTCTCCATTGTAGTTCCTTTTTTGGTCAAGCAAATTTTGTATTTAGGATCGTATAAGGGATCCCCAAAAAGAATGTCTGCTCAACTTCGACGATGCTCTGGGAAGTCAGGTGCCCCAAAAAGGACACAGAAGGGGCCGAGGAGGCAGCGGTGAATCCTTAAGTAGCACATTATTTTCCGGCTTAGGGCTTTGGGCGTAGATTTTATTCTTGACGCACCCGACATCATGAAGTGTTAAGTGAAAAGCCTCACTCCAACCCCAAGCCTCAAGCATTATGGATTCCGAAGATCTAGTATATAGAGGCGGGAACAATAATTCGAGTGTTCATTCCCGAGTAGTCCCTACTCTAACCCCTAAACCCTAAACCCTAAATTAACCATTAAGGCCATTAAGGTCCCCTTAGCATGTCCGAGTACAGGTTCGGGTGCATCTTGCGGCAGGCTCGATGCCGTGCAGCGCTTCAGAGATTCGCTTTTCGCACGTTTTTGGCGCTGAACCCTACAGCAAATCCCAAAAAGTTTGAACAGAGGTTGAGGAGGATTAGTGGAAGGATCCGCTTATACTTTACCTTACGGTCATGAGCATATTGATTTTCCAACTTCCTGGCCTCTACTGTAAACCCTGAACGCGATATGAGGTTTCCAGTTGGTTCTATGGGATTCCGAGATGGGGCTTAGTTTTTAGGCTTGAGGGTTCAGCTCGGAAGAGCACCGAGTGTAGATTTCCCTTAAATCGGGTAGTTTGGAGTTTAGGGTTTAGGGTTTAGGGGTTTAGGGTTTTAGGGTTCAGGGTTAAGGGTTGTATAGGGTCCCGTTAAGGGCTCTTTAGATTAAATCCTTTCTTTGGATCCAACTTACCTTCTGTCGTTAGGTTTGGTACCCTGTCATTTCCCGGTTCTTGACCTACTGGACCTACTATTTTGTAGCGAGTGGGGTTCTGGGTGCGGCCCGTGCTCGGTGACTTGAACAAGGATTGACACTGTTGGCTTCTGCAGACCTATTCTTCTAGCCATCCATGTTTAAGGCTTTCCGCTATGCAAGTATAGTACAGCTGAGTGTATCGTTATTGAAATTTGGGACCGAAAAACAGACCTGCCTAGACCCTAAACCCTAAACCCTAAACCTAACTAGCAGACTCCATATTTAAATTACAATCAAGCGGGAGATCCGTAATTTTGGGAATCCCCACCCCTGGCCAGAAGTTAAGGATGCAGATACATGAAGATGTATGCATATATGTGCCTGTAACTGGCATTTGCATTTGCATCTGCATGTGCATGTAAGTAAGTAAGTAAATAAGTAAGTAAGTAGGTAAGTAAGTAAGAAGTAGTAAGTAAGTAAGTAAGTAAGTAAGTAAGTAAGTAAGTAAGTAAGTAAGTAAGTAAGTAAGTATGTATGTATGTATGTATGTATGTACGTACGAAGTATGAGGTATGTATGTATGTATGTATGTATGTATGTATGTATGTATGCATGTATGTATGCAGGTATTGGCGTGTGTATGTATGTGCATATGTATATGTATATGTACATGTGTTTTTTGTATAAATAAGTAGGCACACACATACACCAACAACCACCCACACACACACACACACGTATATATGTATATGTATATGTAAAACAGTAATTTTCATGCTAAACATGATAGTTATACTGCTACTGTAGCAGCAGCAGTGGTGAGGATGAGGGAAAGAGGAAGAAGAGTGGTAGGAAGAGCGGTCAAGAGGAAGAAGCGTGATAGGAGGAGTGGTGAGTAGTATCAATAGTAGTGCCAATGATCCTCTAAACCTTGCACCTCAAATCCTTCTAGAACCCTTGTAGTACCCCTTAAAGGAAGCCTTTAAGGTATCCTTACAAGAACCCGAAAGCTAATGATAGAAGCAACCCTGATCCCCAAACCCAGTCCGCCGGAGGATTCCGAGGACGATGCGTTGACGCTCTGCTTCCGAGAGCGAGCCTGGTCGAAGCTTCATTGGTTTAGCCGCAAAATTTAGGGTTTAGGGTTCAGGGTTTATGGTTTAGGGTTCAGGGTTGATCGTTTAGGGTTTAGGGCTATCTGCGAGCATGAACTCTCATCGCTGCAGTAAGTAGGTATCTCAAACAGGCCATTTTTCAAACCCGAAGCCCAAATCCGAAGCTAACCTTGATCCGCTTGCTGGGGAACCTCAACACCCCCGTAGGAGCTTTATAGTTCTCTTTGTAGTTCCTCTTTGTGGTTGAACCCTCTTTTTTGTGTAGGATCCTATATAGGACTCTTTAAAGGGAAACCTTAAAAGGAAGCGCACTGGAGACTATGGGTAGTACTCACGCCATGGCGCTTTCCGCATTCTCCTGGGCTCCCATGCCCGATCTTCCAGAGGGCTCGGGTACCCAATTGTTGCCGCGCCAGGGTTCGCACAAGAAGTATGCCTCAAAGCCGGATCTTGTATAGGTTCAGACGTAAAAGGGTGACGCGGCTCTTTCGTACACTGTTCATCCTAAACCTTCTTACCCCAAAGTCGATCCTGCGATAAGGTCTAATATAATTAGGGGCCTTAATAATTGGATTGGGGTTTTGGGGTCCATTATATGAGAAGTATATCAAGGAATCCCCAAAATAGTATTGGTAACTATCAGGGCCCTAAACTGCCCTAAACCCTAAACCCCAAACCCTAAGCCCTAAATGCTAAACCCAAAACTAGTACTGGTTATTATTTAAGCCCCTACATCAACAAATTAAGGGAGCCTGGAAGCTCAGGAGACGGCCCCCGCGAGTTTTGCATGAAGGATGCGTCTGCAGCGACCGAGTTTGGGCAATACTCGGGGTTTAGGGTTAAGGGTTTACCTTTGGCCTAAAAAACCTACTCTTTTTAAGGAGCTATATATAGAGAAACCATAATAAGGAACCCGAAAAAGGTAGGTCTTTTCGGTTACAGGTAGGGTTTACTGCTGATTTCGTCTTTCCTTTCTTGCCTACTGTCGTCGGACGCACTGAGGGTCTACAGCCGTTCGTCGGTCTAAGTAGCACGTTCCCTTGAGCCCTAAAGCCGGCACCACCCTAATACCCTGAACTTTATAGTCTCCATTGCAGTTCCTTTTTTGGTTGAACAAAGTTTATATTTAGGACCCTAGAACTCTCATGTATGGATTCGTAAGTAAGGTATCCCTCTTCAAGCCCCTTCTGCTTTTAACAGCTGCCAAAGCACGGAGGCCCAGTTTGCTTTAGGGTTTCGGCTCAGGGGTTCAGAGGTTGAGGGTTTGGGGTTGACGGTTAGGGATTAGGGTTTAGGGTTTAGGGTTTAGGGTTTAGGGTTTAGGGTTTAGGGTTGAGGGTTTAGGGTTTGGGGTTGACGGTTAAGGGT